TTTTTCTACTTTAGAGTAAAAAATAAATGCATCATTTTGCTATTGAATTTGCTAAAACTTTAAGTATGATATTTCGAGTTGGCAAGACAAACATATTTATATTTATTCCTTAGTCATAATACCATAAACTCCATAATTTCTAAATTTCACAAGAGTCATTCTTTGGAACTTGACACTCCATAAAAAGTATATATATAAAGAAAGGATATAATGAAGATACAGTAGTAGTTGAGCAGACCTTTCTAGAAAAAAACAAACAAACATTTTCAGTTCTATCTTAGAACTTTCTGGGGTGATGGGGGGGTGGGCAGGGAGGAATGGCATAAAAAAAGCGATGCCTCCTGTTATCCACGGCCTAGAGTTTTCATATTTGGAAAGTTTAGAAAATTCTATCACCATTTCTTCTTCTTTGAAAGGCACAAGTAAATACACTACATAGATTTTTCTAGTTTTAAAGGCCCTAGGCAATAACTTTATTAATTCAACATGAAAATATAAAGCCATTAAATTTTGTCTGGGTAGAATAAATCCCTGTGGCCTCCTTTAAAGCAATGTAGGTCTCTGATGCCCATGGGCATATCTGTGTCCCAGTCCACAAGAGATAAGACCAATAAACAAGGAATGTGCAACCTATTCTTTCTCCTTGGAAAGAAGAGAGCGTCCACTTGGGACAGTGGGCAGACTCTGTCTTCCCCCTCCTGTCACTCCCTTCTGTGTCATTTTTTTTCTAACTTCATGTCATAGGCAGACTCAGAATACCTGAGTCTGAAGATATCAGGATAACACTCATAAATTTGTGACAATCACTACAATATTCCATATCTAAGATTTTTTAAATGCCATTTATCCACTAACATTTTGCATAATGCACATTTTGCATTAGTGCTGCATAATCCTACAACTCTAGGGAAGTATAAAAATTTTGTTCTAAAACATATCCTAAGATTCCTTTCCAAGGCCAAAACAAGAAATCCCACTCCATAATCAAGAGACATATATTTTAGTAACATCAGATGTATTTTTCTCTTTTCTCTTATCAAATTGTTACTCTTCCCGCATTCTTGGTTTGAAGTCTAACCATCTTTTTTTCTTCTTTCTAGACTAGGGAGTAAGGAAGGGTGATGAAATGTTGGAACAATTAAACATCCCTGTCCATTTTCTCCAAAAGCCCTTTGTATTCTAGCAGATTTGTGCAATCTTTTCTTTTTCCCGCACAACACTGTAGGCCTAGGCCTGAAATAGCTGGGTAGAGAGATGAGTATCAGAATTTCTCATCAAGAACTAAGCAAAGCATCCATCTTCTTTAGCATGAATTAGACTGGGGGTGGAGCGGGAGGGCTTGGAGGAAAGAGAAAAGAAGGGATTGTATTTTAATAAATACGAATAAATGTATTAAATACTTTTCACAATCAGATAGCTCCCCCCAAAAGGTTATTTTCTATCTTTCTAAGGATGTAAGCCTTAATGAAAGCAAATCTTAGTCACGAATTTGAGGAAATTACCCCATCATAAGTTTACATGTATTTAAACTGAAAAATTGTTAACCATGCTTTTGCTCTAAGATGTGTGAAGGCCATTCAGAGCTGTAGGGCCCTGGATAAACACACAAACAAGTATGTGTATATCTGGAGCCCAACACATTGTAATAAACACAGCTGCATTTACTTGAGTATATGATCCCATGTACATGTAAAAACATTCAAACACACTCAACATATTTATTTGATGGTGCAGTGGGACAATTATTCAAATAAACATGCTCGGTGCAATTATTTGAATCTCACATAGCATGTTCATCCATCACAGCATTAAAAAAAAGGGGGGGAACAACACCAAAGAATTTACGTGGGAAAAAATATATGTGAAAACAACCTTATTATAGATTTTATAGGGTTAGCCAAAGTTATGGCTCCCTCCTTAACTGTAACTCAACTATTCTGTATTCAATGACATTTGTTTCTAATGATTAATTGGTTCGTCCACTTGATCATTAGATCAGAATGGCCACAGATTCAGATTCATATAATAACAAACTTTACAAACCTGAATTGGGTAGAGATGTGAAATATCTATATTTCAAGTGCAGAATAGTTCTTCCTAGACACCTTACGTCAAGGGGACTCTGGTCAAATTGTTATCACTTTAAATAGCACCCCCATCAATTTAAAAAAATTTATACATGCAACAAAACATTCCTACATTTGAAGACAAAAAAATCACAAGTGACTCATCTGATCATTTTATATATTAATAAATATTACATATATGTGAACACATCACAAATCATATAGGTGTACCAAGAGGCAATTTATGGCCTCCCTTAAGTATGTACTGACATAACCTAATATACTAAAATGGGAAGGGGCGTTTAGTCACTGAAATATGCATCGTGTAACAAAGATGAAGAAAATACATGGCTTGTGCCCATCATAAAAAAGACTCAGACTGAAGGCTTAGCTTTGGTTTTTATTCAATTAAATTGTTAAACTGTGCACAGTGA